CTGCTTATATTACCTGCTATTCTGTAGGAGCACACTACAAGACACAGATAAACTCAAAATTTCTCAAAAGAACGGAGCTTAATACTACATTGGTATTGTAACACTAACATTCAAATATTTAAATTATACTTAAAGACAGTTTCAGACAATTTTAACATACCTAAAGGAAAATGGCCTCAAACCATTGTTTGCTCTGGCACCATTATGAAGCTCAACTTTATTCTTTATCTAAGCATAGACACAATTTGTTCTAGCCAACACCATAGACAGAATATACAATTATCTGTAAAGACTTCATATGGGAAGTCAAACTTCTGACATGAAGCTGTATTAACCTGAAGAAGTATGAGCAGAATACTCTCAGTGTTTTCTGACAGTATCAGCACACACCCTGATTAAGAGCCAGCACAGATAAAACCAATACCTATGAAGCAATGCAGACTATAAATCAGGGGGAGGAAAAAATCCCAAGAGCTGGAGACTGTCTCCAAAGACTACCTGGACACATTTTTTACAGTTTTCTACTATAAATGAATGAAACCCACTCTGCTGACATACGCTCTCCCTCTTCTGTTCATATAACTGCAAGAACTAATTTTCCTGAAATTTGCTTGCAGCGGATACATTACTAGTGACCTCCTGATAGCCACTGCTCCTGTTCCTGAAGAGCACCTAAATCCCTTCCAAGCTGCACTCATTCTGTCTCTAACTGTAACACACCATTGCCTCAGAAATATTTTAATGTTTCAGTGCCTTTAAAAAGACCGTTTGAAGTACTGTTCTGTTCAAAACAAATGTCCCTTAGTGAACATGAAGAGGTATTTAAAAAACAAAAACAAAACACCACCAACAAAAAACCCCAAACCTGGGCCAGACACTTTAATCAAAATCAGACTGAAAAGTTCAAACTGATGCACACCCACAAAATTCCCCGAACATAAGCAGAAGATACTGTAGAGTGCTTTGGCAATACTTTAGCTTTTCAATTAGGCAACGCAGCAGGAATTACAAGTTACAAATATGTAACACATTTAAAGACTGGGAAGGTTTCCCACTGGAGGAGCAGGGCAAGATTTACCAGCATACAGGAAAGAGCTCCTTACAAAGAGTTTGCCTTTATCTGAGTGTTCAGAACTCGAGTAGCTCTTTTTTACCCTGAAATAGCAGCTCTTACCATAGGTAACTTGTCCCTGTAAAAACAAAACCAAAACAACAAACCACCAGTTTCCTTGAGAAAAATGTTTCCCCAACTTCCTATGCTCCAATGGTGACCTAGCAAATGTAACAGGGCAATTGCACACAATTGTAGTGAATAATATTCTTCTCAGACCATTGATATAAGGTGGAAAAGAGAAAGAAAAAAAAAAAAAAGACATTTTTTAGGTTAGTAGAGCATCTGAGAAAACAGCAGTGTCACCTTTCTCCATCCCAAGAGTGAAACTTCTAGATTCAGAAAGTCAAATTAAAGTGCTCCAACCTTGGACTAGTTTTCCTTGCAGCGGAAGAATCCCTGTTACTGAGCCATGTCCTGCAAAACGCTATTGTTCTTATCCAAATACTTCATTTTTTTATTCTACAAGAGCTGAGAAAAATAGCACAGTAAACAGCTTGTAAATTTGGCATCACAATTGTCCTTCCTCCCTTTCATCTCCATAGTCTCTTCCCCTCTGAACTCCTTCTTAGCAGCATATGCCAGACTTTTACTTTTAAAATGAGCTCAAACCAGAATGAATGGCCCATACAGGGCTCAAACCTGCACCCTGACATTATTAGAACTGTGCTCTAAACAACTGAGATAATATGCAACTATATCCCATTTTAAGAAAATACTAAAAACTAACAAAAAGGATGCACCATAACATGTTCCAAAGGTCTACCTCGGATCTCAGCTGCACTGAAAATACTTAAGCATTGCAAACTACAAAACTGAATCCTGCGCATGCTATCACTGTCAGGTCCTTAGAACACAGAGACAGAAAGTATCCCAGGTATAGAACTGGCAACATATCATCCCATTTACAACCTACACATTCCAACTGGCAGTATTCACTTCATCGAATCAGAGAATGCTGTGGATTGGAATGGACCTTGAAGATCATCCAGTTCCAACTCTTACTTAATTAATTATCAAATCAAAACTATAGTTTTCTTAAAAATAACATAACCCTTTCTTTTGGACTGGACTAATCTTGCCAAAGACCTGAAACTACATCAGGATTTTAAGGTTTAATACAGTCAGCTCCCCACAGTTATATTAACACATGTATACAGTATTTTTGTATGCTGTAGGCACACATACACATTCCAGTCACAAGAAATATCCGCATGCAATAAAAAGTATAAAGAAAAGGAAAAAAAAGCTAATTATTTCTTGCAAGAGCAAGGAGGGAGAGGTGGGCATAAAGGGGAACTGATACAAAAATAAGGGAAAGACAGTTAAAAAACCTCCAACAAATCTGGTACTAACTTTCCTTCACATCTGTTATGTGCTCTCCAAAGCTGATTTTGTAGCCTACCCAACACCAGCTCACAGAAATGAAGACTTCATGGCAAACTTTCTCCATTAAACACTAGATAGGCAATAAGGACTTAATATTCATTCAGTTTCTCAGAGTTAACTGTGGGCCAAAGAAACCATTTAGATATCAAAAGCACATCTATTTTATCACATCTGCATTTCTCTAAGTACAAAACACAATTTTTTAAAGATGCCAAACACCTCACTGATTGCCTCAAACGCATGGCACTGGTTTATAACACTGACTACTCCTACATGTTTGTTTGGTTTCTTCTCAAATCAACAACAAAAATATGCCCCAAGGCTGCTAGCCAGATACTACTTGGACAAGAAAAGCTATTCTTTTGCTAGCACAGAATTGTGGGACTGTTCCTGAAATAGCTCAGGCATTTTATGTATTAGTGAGAAACACTCAGGATTCTGTCACTCCCTCAAGAACTATTCCACAAAATGGTGCAAAAGTTTATTCTAGGCAAACAAACCCTGAAAATTCTTCAAAGCTCTTAAAAAAACAGCACTTCAAGAAACTGACATACATTTCAGAATGGGATAAACTTTTGTAAGATTTTTTCACTCTTAAGTCCTCTTTTCAGCTCCTGAAGGTGCTTCAAAACAAAAGGAAGTTTCAGGTTTTACATCTTAGCTCTACTTTTCTTCTTAAAGGACATTGTAAGGAAACAATTATCTAGTCCAAGCAACAACAAGTCCTAGCAAAGACCTACATCTGAACCTTAAGGAGAAAATACTTATTTTAACACACCTCCATATAATTTATCTAATTTTTTTGTCAGTGCAAGATGGAAATTAACTCCTGATGTCTGAAGTGATGCTATTTTAGGCTGTTAACTGAGTAGGTGAACTTAATATGAAGAGCATAACGTCATTAGAAGATATTCAGTTGGTTCTTTTCAGTTCTAAGACTACTTTTTTCAACTTTTAATTTTTAATCTACTCCTAGCTGAATTTAAGACAGCAAGGCAGTGAGGTAATGTACAAGTTGTCTTTTAACACAGTTGCTAACGATTCCAAATTAAGAACAGATGTTTAGCACATACAGTTAAATTAGAGAATATTTAACAAGCAACAAATCTGTGATCCTTCAAAATGACTCATCTGAGTTACTGGATGCTGCTGCCTAACCATAAGAAATCACAGTCCCTGCTGTGATTTTGATCACAAGTGTGATTTACCATTATCATGTCATCAATACCTTCTGCAAAATCACTGGAAATATTGTTTGTGCTGACTTAATTCACTGAATGAAATCCATTAGTCGTGCATACTAGAAACTAGGTTTGGCCCTACACATTTTAATCATTGTATGCTCAGCTAGGATGCTATGACAAAGTTTAAAATGGTAAAGTCTAAATACATTCTTTCTCATGAATGAAGGCCTAGAACAATTTTGCTAAACTGATTTTGAAAAACTCATGGCTAAACACCTGAGAATTTATGAAAATTAGACCACATTGCATCAAGACAACCACACTCAAGCCCAAATTCACCAAAACAAACGCCTAATCCATCTGAACTGAGTTTAGTATTTCATCAGTTCCAGTGTTGTTCAGAGGTTATAAGTATCTTTCTCAACACACCAGGTCTATAGAAAGCAACATTCATCCTGAAAAAATCTAACACATGAATAACAAAAAAATACTTAAAATTATGGATTTGTGTCACAACAAGAGGATCACTAGTGCATTTTATGCAAAGTAATTGGCCCTGAATACCATCGACAAACAAACAAAACCCAAATCACTCTGAATCTGGCCTACTTAAAACTGCAAAGCTGATGAAAAACATCTACTAAAAATAGTAGCCCCACTATGGACTTATAAATAGAAATGAGATTTCTCACAGTGTTGAATTCACTAATAATACCACAAAACAATACGATTTCCAGCACAAAATGACAACTTTCACAGAAATTAATATTTAACACAATATATATAATATGCAGATGTTATATAAACCAAGATGACAAATTTGCAGAGTAAAAAGTATTGACAACGCTGTGCAAAAACACAGTGATGGTCTTATGCCTTTAAGCACACTAACACAATTTTAAAACAAACAAACAACCTCTTCAAACAAGTTTAGTATTTGTGGTGAATATTTTGCAGGCTGAAGTCGACCACTGTGTCTACTGACAGCTGACCACAGTGAACAGGGAACTGCTGAGTGCTGGCGCTCCATCAATGAGTAACACGAACCGGAGAGCGAAGGCTGCGGCTTTAACCAGCTCTCTCTGCAGACGCACCAGCGTCACCCTCAACACGGATTAAAAACGCTGCACTTCAGCACTGTATGACCCACTTTAAATTCGGATGCTGAACGCAGGCAGTGCCTCTCCGAAGCTGCCTAAATTCAGCCCGACGCCAAAATTAAGCCTCAGCACAACATTTTCCCGCGATGGAAGCCGGGGGGTCGCAGGGCCCGGCTCGCTCACAGCGTTACCAGCAGGACAAACAGGTCGCCGTACCTCCGTGAGGATGGAATTGCTGGGCTGGAACCGCAAGGAGGGAGGAAAGGCAAACCTGCTTCCAGGTCCGCGAGCAGGAGAGGCGCTGGGCATGCGGGAGAGGCGGCCCTGCCCGCAGAGCATCCCCCGAGCGCCGCACGCACACCCTTCCTGGAGAGGGATCCCCTTCCCGGAGAGAGGTCCCCTTCCCAGAAACGGACCCCCGCCCTGCTCAGCCCGCCTCCCGGCACGTGATCGCCTTCCTCCTCCTTCCTCCTCTTCCTCTTCCTCTCCCTGCCCCCCCTCGCCCCAGCAGGGCAGCGGGCCGCTGCCGAGGGGGACAAACCTGCGCCCTCCCCGCAGAAAGCGGCGGCTCCGGCACCGGAGGAAATGGGCAAAGGGGAGAGAAGGGAAAGGAAGGAAGAAAGGGCCGAGCCGGGCCGCACCGGCGGCCCCGCCGCCCCTCTGCCAGCAACACGCCCCGTATCTCTCCCGGCCTATTCCCCGCCGCGTTCCCCTCGCCCCCCGCTCCGGGCGAGGGGGCAGCGAGCTCACCCCGGCGCGCCGCTCCGGCCCGCAGACACGGCCCCGCCGCACCGGGCAGCGCCGCAGGCCGGCTCGGCCTCCCGCTCCTTCATGGAGCGCGGGATGCGGCGGGACCGGCGGCACCGCCACACGGTGCGAGGGCTCGGGCAGCAGGCGGCAATGGGGGCAGAGCCGCGGCGGAGGCAGCGGGAGCGGCCCATAGATAAGGCGTCATCTTTGATCTTTAAGTGTCAACACCCCAAGTTGTAGTGCGGCCGTAAGAACGAGCAGAAGGACTGGTTAGCTGTCGTTCGCCCGGATTCCACTTGTGTCTTGTCATAGCGCTGTCCTTATCTTTGCAGGGATTAGCGCCAGAAAATCACAGAATTGCAGAGTTGGAAGGGACCCTCAGGGACCATCGAGTCCCACCTCCCAATGTCCTGCACAGGACACTCCAAGAGTCACACCATGTGTGACCCAATGTGCCCAAGAGCATTGTCCAAATGCCTCTTGAACCTTGTCAGGCTTGGTGCTGTGACCACTTCCCCGCAGAGCCTGTTCCAGTGCCCAAATCCCACACTCTGGACAAAGAACCTTTCTCTTATATCCAACCTCAACCTTCCCTGACAGCTTCAGGTCATTCCCTTGGGTCTTGCCACTGGTCATCACAGAGAAGGGATCTGGGCATGATTGCTGTTATTTTGAAAATACAACAGAAAATCAATCAAGCAGCCACCGTTGGAAACAATCCATTCCTTTGGGAAGCACGGTCTCCAACCTTATTGAAGCCCAGAGCTTGTCAAATGCTTACATATGTCATAAGGTTTGTCTGCAGTTCAGTGCTGCAGGCTAGATCCGCCTCTTTTAACATGAAATAGGTGTAGCAGGGAAACAGAGGAAGAAAGGTGAAAATATAGGTCCAGGAAATATCAAGATAAAGGTCACTTGCTCCACCCTGCCTTGCTCACTCCACTAGAGCCCAGTGTCTTCAGGGACATCCGTGCAGAGTAGCTGCAGCAAGGTGATGATGAGGTGTTCAACCTGGAATTAGAACACCAGTGGAAACAAGTACTCTAAGAATTTATTATTTAAAAAAGACATTATGGTAAATGATAGCTGAGGTGAATTGCTTAATCTTTCTTCCACAAACACAGAACTCACAATAAAATGTCCTCTTCAGTATTACCTCTTATTATGGGAAGGAAGAGGAATTTCTGTAGGTGTGAGGAATACCTTGCAAGATGCAAGATCCATTTTTTTGGGTCTAATAATTTTTTCTTAATCTAACTTTGTAAATACAATCACTTTATGCAATTTTATGTTTTTTACTCATGTTTGTTTATTTTGATTATGTATGTTTGGTTTGTTATGTTGTGCTTTTGCAGTTGTTTTACTAAAGATCACCTCAGACTTTCAGTGAGGTGACTGATTTTACTTATTACTGTTGTTTTTCATGCAAGAACAAAGAGAAAGACTTGGATCTCAGTTTGAATTACCTGTTACCAAACAGGCAGTCTGTGTTTGAATTACCTGTTACCAAATTGGTTTGATACAAGATATTTAACACACTGCAAACCAAAGGCAGCAATTCTCTGCCATGGCACGTTTTGAAATAAACAGCTTGGAATAAAATGTGGTTGAAATTTAGCTGAACAGATGAGGAGTTTTATTTGTGATAACATGTGAACAGCCACTGTTATTCAGGCCTCATCTGTAGTTCTGAAATTGTGTTAAAAGATGAGTGTAATGTCTTGAAAATATAGCCAATAAATAGAGGCTAGATTTCAGATAACTAAAGCCTGTGCAGGTTGTGTGTATCCACTAACATCATGAGGAAAGCAAAACCCTCAGTATTCCTTCTTATTCCTGACTGAGTGATTTGTTATAATCCAATTTAAAAAATATGATATATTTGATAATTATAACTAGCTGAGGCTCAGATCTCAATAAAATGTGGCTATCAGATCTGATAGCCATACATGCTCACAGAACCAGTCAGCTTGCTGGTTAATGGGGAAAGAGAGATCTGACAGCAAGAAAAGGCAATTAGATTGCAGCTCTTCCATTTTGGAGTTATGCTACAATAGACACAGGATTAGAAGAAGAGCAAAAAAATCCCCAAATTTCCTTAAAACCTAGGTGTTAAAGAAATTTTTCACACTGGGTTCCCATCTCCATTTGATAGGTTTATTGGCACCAATCAGTTGTGATGCCTGATAGCTCCAGCCAAGTGCCTGATAAGAGTGACCAAGGAAAAAGAAATCCCTGGGCAAATACACCCTTACAATGTAATCTCCCTGTCCATCATGTGACAGTCTGGAGCAGCAGCCATATTAGGGGCTGTGGTATTGTCACCCTTCATTTTTCTTTTTACCAAGTGATTGCTAGGTGACCATTTTTACATCCTCTTAGGTTGGTTTCGGTGGGGGTTTCAGCCAGTTTTGTAGTCCATGTTGTAATAGTGTTGTTACAGTTCATATGCCACAATTTAGAGGCTGTCCACTCCGGAAAAGGAACCATCAGCTTTAAGGGAAAGGCATGACTAAACTATGGAAGGGAGAGGGAAAAGGGATCCCAGGACAAATCTAGCAGAGATGAGAAATATCTGTTTTCAGATAAAGAACAAATATTTTAAGACATGTCAGATTAATGTTTGAGTCTCTGCCTCCTTCCAGGTGGCCTATCTCCTCTGCTAGCTTTGTTAAAATACTATCTTACAGAATCTCCCTGGAGAGAAAAAAAAAGTGTTTGTTCTGCTTTTCCTGTTCTACAGGGTGTATGGAGGGGATCCTGATGGGTGAAGAACTGTTTCAGTTCCTGCTGCAACGGCATCACATCTTGCATTAATCAAGGAAACTCAAGCAGGGTTTGCTGAGAAGGTTTTATTAAGCTGTACTAAACCCAGTCAGTAATTAAAGTGCTTAGCACAGTATGCTAAGGCTATGTTTTCTAATCTACTGAGAACTTTGAGAGTCAAAATATATCATTGTGTATCACACAGAGTATTATTGCTAGGTGTCCTAATTTCAGACCAAATTAGTGACCTAAACAACAACTTAATTTTGGGAGCTGATAATCTTCTTCTGCTTTTGGATAGGGAATGGAGAGATTTGGGGATTTACATTCAGTAACCACTCAGGACATGACTTCAAACAGATTAAATTATGTAGAAGTTGCCTTTAAAAGTCCTTCTGAAGAAATTTGCACAGGTAATCTTGTGTTTGTAATGTTGTCCAAAGAGAGGATGTTTAGCAGTGCAGACTTGAAAAAAATGAGCTAAGCATGGACTAATGGACTATCTTTTCCAGATTGTGTAGAGGTATTTCCCTAACTGTCAGTGGATCTGAACACAGGGAAGGACAGACAAGGTTAGGTCATGTAAGGAAGGACTCTGCAGTTTCTTCAGTACTGCTGTCATGGTTTAGCTCCAGTTGGCAACTATGTACCACGCAGCTGCTTCTTCACTAGACCCTCCAAACCATTGGGATGAAGAGGAGAACTGGAAAAATGTAAAACCCATGGGCTGAGACAAGAACAGTTTAATAATAGGAAAAAGGAAAAGGATAAATAAAAAAACTAGAGAAAAAAACCAATGCCCAATTCAATTGCTCACCACCTGCTGAACAATACCCAGCCCATCCTCAAGCAGCAATTGGCAGCTCCCAGCCAATTCCCTGAGTTTAAATATTGATCATGATGTTCTATAGTGTGGAATATCCCTTTGATCAGTTCAGGTCATCTGTCCTGGCCATGCTCCCACCTTAGCTTCTTGTGCACCTGAGATAATGATAAGCCCTTGACTCAGGGTGAGCACTGCTTGGCAACAGCCAAAACATCAGTCTGTTGTTAACATTATTCTCATACTGAATCCAAACCACAGCTGCTAAGAAAAAAATTAACGGTATCCCAGCCAAAACCAACACAACTGTTTTCCTAACAGAGGCATGTCTCTCTGTCCTGATGCTGAAGTTTGAATGTGAGCAGGTGAGTTTCATGCGCAGGTAATGGAGTGCCTGCTCCACCTTCTAAAGGAGTGGAGCAGGTTGTGCCTAGGTTTCGGACAGCATTCCACTTAAATTGTTACCTTGGACTCTGTTCACGTGTGCCTATTACAGGGCATTAAGGAAAGACTGCCTGTAATCTTCTGGAGCAAGAAAAATGGAAAGAGAAGTATAGTAACAGTACTTCATAATTTACATCCTAAAGCCTTCATCATTTGGTTTTCCTCTGCTTATATTTAAGTTAGTATTTTTCAGTCTTTAGTTCTGCTGCCTCTGTAAAAATGTGTGTCAATAATAGGTTCTTTGTCAGAACAAGTAGCTAGCAACCAGTACAGGTTAATATTTCAGTGTTGTTCTGAATATATTTATTCTCAAGTTTATATTCTTTCTTTCTGGAGAAAGACCATCAGAGTTCATTTTGAAGATGTGTACTTCTTTGAAGCTGAAGGAAATGTAATTTCTTATTAAAATTGCTATTGATAGTTAATAAGTAAAATGTTATAAAGCCACATGATGTAAACTACTTTCTAATGACTCCTCAGCCTCCTACTGTGGCAGGAGTAGGGCAAGAGAGATGTCAAATGGAGGCAGATGTGGCTGAGGTCTTATTAATGCTGTTCTTTGGAAAGCGGATATGTCAGTGTGCAATACCTGTGGAGAGTTTGGGAAGGAGGAAGAAGGCTTTCCTGTCACTTGG